TAGATACAAATTATAACATAATCTATTGCATGTTATTATATATAATATATAATACGTCTATAATATAACAATTTTGCATTGTTGGTGATTGCAGATCCATCCACAATTGACCCAGACGTTCCCCTTTTGCTGAGTTCTCTTCATAGAGACCCTGTCTCCACTTCTAGCTACTGCATTAAGTTTCTCCTCTCCTTGACAGACCCTTTGTGATGACAATAATGGCAGCTACGGACCAGAAATGGGGCACTTTGCATGTATTATTGCATTTAATTTTCACAACAATCCTAAAAGAGAGGATTAGTCCTATTTTATAGATGAAGATGCTGAAGTTTAGAGAGGATAACCTGCCCAAAGTTACTTAGGCTGTAAATGGCCAGGAGTTCTGGTTATCTGTTCCTGCAAAACAAATACCTAGAAATTTAATGGCTTATAATACCAATGGTTTTATTATATCTCACTGTTTTGTGGGTCAGAAATTTAGGCAGGGCTCAGCGGAGACAGCTTAACTCTGTTCCACATGACATCAGCTGGGATGGCTTAACTGGGGCTGGAGAGTCTCTTTCTGAGACAGCTCACGCACATGGCTGGCAACTGGGCTATTAGCCAGGGTCCTTAATTCTTTTCCACATGGGCCTCTCCATGTGGCTGCTTGGGCTTCCTTAGAGCATGATGGCTAGCTTCCAAGAGTATGTATTCCAAAAGACACGAAGTAGAAGCTGCCAATCTCTTAAGGCTGGTCCCAGAAACTGTCACAGTGGTACTTCTGCTGTCTTTTATTGCTAGGAAGTCACAGAGCTCTCCTAGATTCAAGGAGAGGGAACATAGACCTGACCTCTCATTGAGAGGAGTGTCAAAGAATTTGCAGCCATGTTTAATCTACCACAGGAAAGATGAGAATCCAGATTGTAGTCATGACACCACGTTGCATCTCAACTAGTACAACGCCAGATGCATTTCTCTATCTTTGCATTTATCTCTTTGTATTATAGTGACCAGACCATGAGCTCCTTGAAGGCAGGGATCTTGCCTTATACATCTAGGGTTAGGCATAACACCTACCTGAGCATAGTCAATGATCCATAAATGCTGAAAGAATGAATGATGGAGAGCTGAGTTCCAGTCCTGGCTCTGCTATTAAGCCTGCTGTTAGTCCAAGCAGGATACTGAACTACTCTGGGCCTTGGCACCCACACAGTAAAGTAAGGGGATGGGATTAGATGATCCCTAAACTCTTCCTTTTCCCAGCACTACCATCGTATTAGTCTGCTTGGGCTACTCTAACAAAATACCATAAACTGAGGAGCTTAAACCATAGACAGTTATTTCTCACGGTTTTGGAGGCCGAGAAGTCCAAGACCAAGGTGCCCTCCAACTCAATTCCTGGTGAGGACCTTCTTCCTGGCTTGCAGGCAGCCACTTCTTGCTATGTTGTCACATGGTGGAGAGAGAGAGAGAGGTCTGGTGTCTCTTCCTCTTCCTAAAAGGACACTAATCCCATCATGGGGGCTCTACCCTCATGACCTCACCTAAATCCAATTGCCTCCCAAAGGCCCCATCTCCTAATACCATCACTTTTAGGGTTAGAGCTTCAACATGCGAAATTTGGGAACACACAAACATTCAGTCCGTAACAACCATTCTGCTCATCTACTCAAGATAATTCGTTACCAAATAAAGAGAGCTCAGATACAAGTCTCAAATGAGAGGAAGCCAGGAGTCAAGAAACATGAGAATGAAAAGAAAAGAATAGAGCCAATGAGATTGTTCTCTAGAGAGATGGGGATGGGACTTTAGGTTCAGATGCTAATACTTGAATTACAATAGTAACACTTGAATAGAAAGGAAGGAAGTTGGAGGAGGCCTTTTCAAAGGTTGAAGGCATCGGACTTGGGAACTATTTGGCCACAGGGGTGAGACAAAGTTATAAGTCAAAGTGGACTCCAGATTTTGTACCTGGGTAACTGGGGGAGTGCAGATTTGTCTAACATCAGCAGTGGTTCTCAACTCTGACTACACGGAAAATTGCCTGATGAGCTTTTAAAAAGTATTGATGACTGAGCCCCTTTCAAGAATTCAGAATTTCTAAAGATGGGGCTGGAGCACCAATATTTTTCAAAGCCCCCCAGGTGATTCCATTGTGCAGCCAGGGTTGAGGATTTCTAACCTAGAGTTAAAGGCACTAGTTTTCTGGCTGCTGTGGAATTATAAGAAACTGAAGATCAAAAGCTGTTAGCCACCAAATAACTTGGGGTATGGATTGTATGGTATATAGAATAATGGCTTCCCAAAGATGTCCACATCTTAATCCTCAGAGCCTGTGACTATGTTAGGTTACATGGCAAGTGGAATTAAGGTTGCTAATCAACTGACCTTAAGATGGGGGGATTATCCTGGATTATCCAAGAAGGTCCAATGTAAGCACAAAGGTCCTTTAAAGGTGGAAGAGGAAGGTAGAAGAAGAGAGTCAGAGGGAGAGGTGGCTATGGAAGAATAGTCAGAGGTGCAATGTTGTTGGCTTTGAAGATGGAGGAAGGCACCATGAATCAAGGAATGTGGGAATGCTTCTAGAAGCTGGAGAAGGCAAAAAAAAAAAAAAAAAAAAAAGAATTCTCCCCTAAAGCCTCCAGAAAAGAATGCAGCCCTGTTGACATCTTGATTTTTAGCCTGGTAGGACCTGTGTCAGACTTCTGACCTACAGAACTGTAAGATAATAAATTCACGGTGCTGTAAGCCACTGTTTATGGTAATTTGTCACAGCAGCCTCAGGAAGCTAATACAGGTGGTCAGTTCAGGAAGGCTTCCTGGAAGAGGTAACTTTTGATAAACTTTTGCAGGGACATTGGTGGTGGAGAAAAACTCCAGGAGATAGATCTTGAAATTTGAGCCCATCAGAAAAAAAATTTTTAAAACTCTCAAGGCTGTATAATATCTACCCAGAATGTTTAAAATCAAAAGTCAGAGGAATGAAACAGTATTATATGATTGTCACTAAATTCCCCAATGGAATCAGAGGCAAGGAAATCTTGGGAATTTTTCTCAGTAATGTTACTTGGAGTGTGATCAACGTCACAGATTTAAAGGCTGACAAAACACTTGTTTTACCTGGATTTTTAAAATCACTGAAGTCAGCAAAGAAACTGATAGAATCTGTAGCTTCCACACAGCTTATCACCTGAATGTAAACTGGGACTTGATATTCCTATCACTCTCCTTTAATCAGATCTGTGGACTCCGCTGATTTCTTTTCATTGGATCCTCCTGATAAAAATAATTGGATAATCACACACACAGAAAGGGAGAGTAAAAAACCTTCCATATGTACATTTATTCATTAAAATATATTTATTGAGGATCTATATATGACATGAACTGTGTTGGGGATACATCAATGAACGAGACAGGCAAGGTCCTTGTTCTCATGGAGCTCACAGCCTGGTAGAGAACACAGACAATAATCAGGCAATTTGTAGCAGAGTAGACAATATAGGGCTATCAGAGAACATGGAAGGGACAAGTGACTCAGTCTGAGAGTGGAAAGGGAGGAGTACATCAGGGGAGGCTTCCTGGAGGAAGATAACTTTTAAGCCACTCATTCTCAAAGTGTGGTACATGGATCAACACCATCAGCAAACCCTGGGAGACTGTTAAAAATGGAAATTCTCAGGCCTATTAAGCCAGATCTATTAAGCCTGAAATTCTGTGGATGAGGCACTGAAATCTATGTTTTAATAGATCACTAAGTGGTTCAGATACACACTAAAGTTTGAGAACCACTGAAAACCAGAGCTGCACATTAGAATCAGCTGGAGTACTTTTGCACCAGAATGATGCTGTGGTCTCACCCCCAGAGATACTAATTCAATTGGTCTGTGACAGAGCCTGGGATTAAGCACTTTTAAAGTCCTGGGTGATTATAATACGGTTTTAATGTGCAGTCAGGGTTGAGACCATTTCTCTAAGTTGACAACTGAAACATGAGTTAGCCAGAAAGTGGGGGGTGGGGAGAGGGCAGGAAGGGTGTTACAGGCAGATATGCAAAGGCCCAGATGTAGGAGAAAGCCTGAGGTGGTATATCTGGGGACCTGATAAGGCTAGAGAGTACACACAACAAAACTCCAGGGTTTAACATAAGGTTCACAGCTATACATTTAAGTGTTCATTGCAGTACTTCTTAAACTTTCATGTGCACAGAATTATGTGAGGATCTTGTAGGAACTCAGACCCTTATGCAGTAGGAAGTTCTATTGCTCCAGCTTCCCCTGAGCATACACGTCAGAGAGGGAATGGGGACTGCAGAAGGATGTATCTGTGCATCAGCCCCAGGGCCAACATAAGGGCACCCAGTTGGGGTGAACTGCAGATGCCCGTTGCTGGGTGGGTATGTTTTGAGGGTAAGGAGGAAAGATGCAGCCTAGCACAGCCTCCCAGCCCGCTCTTCTGATTATTTTCCATCAAGGTCGTACTGCTTTTAGCTCAGCAGTAACCTCACCTCCCCCCCTCTCCCCCCCCCCCATCTAGCTGTGTGCATCCCCTGGCCAGGTCACACAGAGCCAGCTCATTAACTGACCGCTGGAGCTCTCTGTAACGTGCCAGCCAGCCAGGGGGGCGCTGGCTGAGGAGGGGGGCTCTCTGGGGGCCTCTTCCCCCTCTGTTCCTCTTCCCACCTTCCCTGGCTGATAGCGTCGGAGCCTGCGGCAGAGCCTCCCTCTGCAGCAGCCCCTTGGACTTGGCTCGCACTTCTGGGCGCTGTCCATGGTTGCAGCATCTTTCGGCGCGCCACGTCAGGAGGCCGCAGCGGGGCCCTGCGATTGGCCGAGGAGCCCCTCGCCATCCCACAACACACCCGCCCCCGCGCCCCGGCCCCAAGCTTCGGCCCCGCAGGCGCGTGCCAGCCAGCGTGCGGGGCGCGCCCTGGGCTCCCGGGAGTCACACCCACTTTCCTTATTAGGGCAGAGTCGGGAGCCTCGAACGGGCGGCGGGGCGCGGGGGTGGGGCGGAGAGCCCTGGGACGCGACAGCTGAGGGCGCAGCCACAGCCTCAGCCGCCTCCGAGCGGTAGGAGGGAGCAGCCAGCCGCGGCGCCCTGGCGGGCCACTTTCCCGAGACCCTGCTCCTCTCGCCCGGCGGAGATCTTTCTCCGCGCCCTCCCGGTACCCCTGGTCCAAAGCTCTCGCAACGATATGGAAGAATTTTTGCAACGCGCCAAGTCTAAACTGGTAAGTTGAGGGAGTAAAGCTGGTGAGTGCGTGTGTGTGTGTGTGCGCGCACTGATGGAGAGGAGAGGGCATTGCAGCAAAGGAGGAAGAAACAACTTTGCCACTTAGTTGTCAGGGTGTGCGGGCTGTCCCCTGGAAAGAACCTCTGGAACTCTGGTGCTTACAGCGGGCAATCTGTCTCCATAATCTTCCCCCACAGCCAGACAAGTGCCGAGCTGGAGATGTTCGTGGCCTGGCTGAAGTTAAGTGCTGTGTGTCCAGCTTTGGTCCCTTTGGCCTGAGGTTGGAAAGAGGCAGATTGAGTCAAATTTGCAATTTTCTCATGAAGGCTGGAGGATGCATGGGTGTGGTGCTCCTTGAGAAAAAGAGCCCAGCCCTCTGCAGATGCAGTACGCGTGAGTGTAAAAGAAGACGACTAATCCCTTAGAGCTGTACTTTAGCTGGAGGAGGTGGCAAAACGTGAGAAAATCAGGGTGCCGACTAGGAACGAGGCCTGCGAATGCGCAGTTGACCCAAGCATCCCTCCCCCAGAGCTTGCTCCAGTGCAGGAGTTAGGGATATTCTAGCGCAAATTGTGTCTCTCTGGTCCCCGCTCAGATCAGTAACTTGGGGCAGAGGCAGAAGGCGAAAGCCCCAACTGTTGCTGGTGACGTGGGGTTTGCCAGACTATTGTTCTTCTGGGAGGAGACCGGCGTGTTGGTCTGCTGTGTTTACCCAAACCGCTGTCCAAGGAGTGAGCGATAATTTCACTATCTGTTGACAGCTGCTACACATTCTGGAACAACAGATTCTAGCAGTTTCCTAATTCCAAATTGTTTTGGCTCTCCAGCAAAGCAGTAATAAACAAAATGGAAATGTTTGTTTCTGCACTTAAAAAAAAAGCCTCCGCCTGTTTAGAAGCAATATCTTTAATGAACAGTGAAAGCACCTTTTATGGGCCCGGCATAGGAGGAAATGCATAATTTATGATGCCTTTAACCTTTAAACCTTCACAGAGGCCAAAATATAAAGTCTGCATTAAGGTGACGTCTTACTCACAAGGCAGGATGTTTGCAGGGTTGTCACTGTAACTTATTTGCCCTCACACAGCAAGGAGAGTGCAGACGAAGTGTGATTCTTACAAAAGATTTAACTGTATCTTTAAAAAGACCATTAAAGTTGATTAATGCTAATATAAATACTTTGTTTTCTACCACATGCCTCCCAGAGAGTTGCATGTTTGTGAAGATTTCAGAATTGAGAAAGTTTGTGATCATTTTTGTGTTTATTGTTGGCTCCCTTATAGTTTTACTCTAGCACGAAGGAAAATACAGATTGCAGAAACCCACTTGCATTTCTGATAGTATAAGTGTGCTGTTTGCTCTTTACCTAACAATGAATGAGAAATGGTCAAAAGAGAAAGTCAATTTTGGCAACTTATTATTATTTTTTTGTGTGCCGTGTAGATGAAAATGAATGGCAATCAACGATAAATGCAATTTTAGACTGCACCTATGCTCCACTCCCGTACCATTTATTTTAACAATAAACATTTAGATTGTGAGGTCTGATGTGAGCAAGAGGTTTGGCTCATTTCTGAAGAACAATTGTTGGGAGGGGAAAATTCCCTATTTCAGAGAAATCAGTTGAAAGTAACATGTAAGTTTATTTACTGAGTCCCTTCATTAGAGGAGCAATTGCTCTACGTCATTAAAAAAAAAGACAGGAAAAAGAAAACGTTGTTTGAAATGCTGTTCCCAGTTTCCTGCTTTGGCCAGAAGAATAATTATGGCTAATTTTATTTTTTTCTTGGAATAGATTTCTTGTTATTGATCACAATTAGCCTTTCATATTCAGCCACAGCGAAGGTGTTTTGGTCACTTTTAGTGTCACATTTCCCCTGACAAATTACATTTTCTAGGTAAATAAAAATTTTACTTAATATGCAACATTAAACTATAGTAATAGATAACCTTCTGCTTTAGAGGCTAGATAACCCTTTTTGTGGGAGAAAAAATTAAGTCAATAATTATGGCATTCATTTGTGAGAAGTTTATTCATAATAAAATAGTAGGATTTTTAAAAATTAGGCTAATCTTTTGGAAAACATTTTAAGGAGAAGAAAATTATCACGCTGGTTTTCACTTAAGGCTTATTAGACCAGAATTAGATAGAATTTAGGTGTTATGTTTAAGCTGTTTTCCATCAGACATTAATATAGACTTAGCTATATGATACCTAAAAAAGTCTAATTGGCAGGTTTTTGCCAATTGACTTCTCGCTTCAATATTCTGCAGGCATGATATACATATTTTAATGCTTTGAAATTGTCAATGTTGCTTCCAAAGTCTTAACATAACCTTGTCATCACTGGAGCTAGCTAATTCCAATAGACCAAAGGAATTTTAAATTGCAAAATGGAATTGCTATTAGCCATAGATAAAATCTCCAGTAATCAAAACTTTGGAGAAATTGTTTCTGTGCCCCCACTTCCCACCCCCATTAGGAGCATTTATCATTCATCCGTCATTGTGAGGAGAGAAGAAGCTCTCTATTCTAGGCCAGGCCTTTGGGTTGAGCAGACATCTTTGAAAGGGAAGGGATATTTTTGAATTTTTATCAAGTAGTTTGGAGCTTAATTCTGTTGAAATTGGGAGAGCACTCTCTCAGTTCTATTTTTCATCCCAATCTGATCCTTGAACTGAGACAGATTCACTGACATAATCCTATTCCTCCTTTTTCCTAAATCTCTCCTTCCAATACCCACCCTTCCTTCCTGAGAACACTCAGTATTTATTAGAAATGGCAAATGTAAACCTCAATTGTGGCCTCAGAGGGATTGTCCCCCCTGGCGCTCAAATGCTTCTCTAGAGCACCTGCCTCCTGCCTGGTTAAGGTGGGCTTGGTGCCCGGAGCTTCTTTGTGAAAAACCTCAGCTGAAGGTGGAGGGCAGCAAGGGGAGTGGTCACTCCTGCCAAACACAGTCGCCAGAAGTGGTACCTTCTTGACAAATACAGACTGACAAATAGGGAACCGACACGATTGTTGTTAAAACAATCAAGACAGTAGCGTAAGCAGTATGAGAGCTAGACTCCCGACAGCAGAGATGGTCATCTAAGGCTGATGCTTCTTACCTGGGTTCACTCCCCCGATGTGAGAACCCAGCGATGCTTCAGATCTGGACATTCACTGCTAGATCTAGAAATCAGAGTGAAAACACATTTTCTTTTTCTCCTGCCAGTGCCCACCTGGCTTTTCTACCATCACTCGTTCAGACCTGGAATAGGGACAGAGATCAAATCCTGTAGTTCCAAGTCAGTCTTTAAATTTTAGCCATGCTTTCCATTTTTAGTTATGCCATTTCTACGGTGGTGTCTTAGTCATTCTCAGTTATACCATTTCTATGGTAAGAGAAATTGAAGGAGGGGAGGGAATGAGGGCCCCTGCCCTAGGCTATGATTTGGGAAATGTCCTCCAATTGCGTAGTGGTGAGCTCAGAAAAGTATTCAGGCCAAGACAGCCTCATGATGGCAGTAAATGATCCAAGATCCCATGAACTTTGGGGAAAAAAATGAAGTAAATGAGGAGTCAGAGCCCTGGGGCTCTGGCTGGCAGGAAGCGATGGTCCCCACACTGGGTAGACTGGCTGCTGAACCTCTCCCACTGCCCAGACCCCACCAGCTGATGCAATTCAAGCAGCTGCTCATGGGTGGGGGTCATTGCAGCTCACATGCCCTAAGATGTAGGTCATGAGCTAGCCTTGGGTGTGTGCGTGGGGGAGTGTCAGCTGCCACTGGAAAGATACATGGGGCACATCACCGTACCAGCAATGCAGTTTTCAAAGAGTGGGTGGGGAGAGGGCCACCACTACAGTCTGGAGAATGCATCTGCCACTTCAGCAGTGACAGCTGCAGACGAAGAGCTCATTTCTGTGGTGGGTTTGGGTCAATACATGGACTTCTATAGAAGAAAAGTTCTGGTGACCTAAACGTCGGCTCATACTCTGTGGTATGTGGCATGGGGACAAGAAAGCACATTCACAACTCTAAATGAACAAGCACATTAGAGTTGATAGAGGAGATGGGGTTTAAAAAAAGAAAGAAAAACCCTGCAGCATGTCTGTAGAATAATTGTCTTGATTGGAAATTGGAGGAGTATATTCTTTCCGATTTCCTTTACAGGAAGAAGGTCTTGCTTGTCAATAAAAAGCATCTTTAAAGTGAATGCTCCATACCTTTTAGAGGGCCACTGTGGTAAGGACTAGTAACGATGGAGACGCTGGCCAAGCAGTTTCCTTTGGGGAGCTGAGCTCATTCTGATCACAGACCACAGGATCAGCTCCCTGCCCATCCTAAGGGAGGGCAAATGCACTTGAGACTGTGCCTCTTGCCAGAACATTCAGGAGCAGGAAACTCAGGAATCCAAAGTACGTCTGTGAATGTGGTGTCACCTCCTTAGGGGCTGATGGGATGGTTGCTTTAGTCCTGGAGTCAGCTCCATTTCTTGCTGCCCGAGCTTTCAGACCGAGAGCTGTGGACTGTCCCAGCCCCAGGGCCTTTGGAGAAGAGCCAGACTTTTCAGCATAAATCTCAGAGTGGATTGGTCTGCTTCAAAGGTAAAGACTTGGTCACTGTCATTCAGACAGCACCTTGGGTCTTGGAGAACGTATGATCAGGTGGTCGAGGACACCCTTTAATCAGTGATTTGGGGAATATTTTATGTTAACTAGGCAAAAACATGACAGCTTTGGTATAACCTGTTTGTTTTATGTAGCCTTTATTTAGGCAGATATTAACATTGTTTGGGGTTTGGTGCACCAGTCTGGGGAGCTCTTGTAAGCACTGGTGACTTGGTGATGGAGGCATCGCTCTTCCCTTACATCTATCCCTCCCTGGAGAACTAGTTGAGGAAAGAAAAGGGTGATGGAGGGATACCTGAGTCTGGATAAAGGCTGCAAATGAGGAAAGAACCTCTGGGGACCAGAGGGATAAAATGCCTGGTGTTGTCTGGGTTATTGATTG